TGGATTTTCTTTGTGCATGAGACTTACACAGTCTTTCTTCAATTCTGTGTATTTATCACATGCCAAAATAAGCTGCAAATGTTTATTGCCATGTTGGAAGAGTGGCAATGACGTAGGTTACTATTTAGCTACTAGCGGAGCTGCTCAGCATTCAAAAAGTTTAAGAGGCAGTCATTAGAATGTGACTGCTGTTTTGATGGATCTCCTGACTGTTGTCACGTTGAAAGGATTTATCCCAAATGTAGATAATGAAGTATTTCTTTGTGCTTGCGGTGACAGACTAAGGCTCCTCCGCCTTGTAAGCTATTGGTGAGCTTGCTTCAAAACCTTTTGCCATAGCCAGGGAGATCGTTACATGCTGTTCTTCTGTTAACAAATGTTTGCACAAAGTTGAAAATATTACCACAGTGACAAAACAGCCTGAACACTGGACATATCAAGCTCAGCTTAAGAAAATAAATCCCAGCTATTTCACTGGAAGAGCAAAGTCTCCATTGTAATCAGCAAAGCTTAATAGTGTTCTGTGTTACAACATGGTAAGAGAGGACAAAAAATGTTTGAGGTAAATTAGATCATAGTTCAGTCTTCGAGGTAACAGCAGCGCTGTAAAAGTTACTATTATTACCAAACCCCATTTGTTTGTGTGGCTTCTAGTCAGTCGTGTTTTCTGTCCCTGGTCAAAGTTACTAATGAATGGGAATAAATAATTTCATTTTTTTATTTAATTTACTCATTGTTATGTATTTTATTTTAACATTCCATAATTTTAATTTACTTCATGATTTTAGTTCTGTACGCATCTAGTTTAATTTCCATTGCGTTCAGTGCAACTTTCATTCACATTTCTCTGCAGGCTAAGAGCCCTTGCTTAGTAAAATTGCATTCCTTTTCTGCATAATGATGCTGTGTTGATGGTGATAAATGGATTTCTAATTTTGATTCCTTTTGTATTCTGCATGTTGTTTTTCTGCATTTCCATGTTTCTGGCCCAGTAGCTCCTGGTAGTGGTGGGGCAGAGGGCATTAAAGCAGTGATTATGGTACAGCATTTACAGCAAGAAGCTTTAACAGAGCCGTAAGCTTCTCCTCAGTCTGTCGGAAAGAGAGATTTTACTAAACCAAAATGCAAAACGCTATGTATGTTTAATTACTAGATGGGAAGCAAATGCAACATCTGGCAAGAACTTCAGTTTAAATCACTTTTACTGTTTTGGACAACAGAAATAGTACTTAAAAGAAGATAACATGCACTAAGGGTTTGTCATCTACTGGGAATTGTAGCTGCAGTTGCCAAAAAAAATAGTAGTATAAATCTTCCTCTTCTTTCTGTATTCACTTACATGGAATATTGCTACAGGAGCCACAATACAAACTCCAGTTACACTGGGAAACAATTCTTATGCTAAATGAGACTATATGGCCAAGCAAATGGCTTATTTGGACAATAGAAGCTGATATCTAAGAGCAGGTTACTGGGCTAAAGTTCATTGCAGGATTTGGGGGGGGGTCAACTTTAGGTTACCTAATGCCCTTGAAATGGACTTCTATGGATATTCTCGAAGCTACAAACATGAGTCTGACCAAACTGCGGGAGGCAGTGGAAGACAGAAGTGCCTGGCGTGCTCTGGTCCATGGGGTCACGAAGAGTCGGACAGGACTAAACGACTAAACAGACAACATGGATATTCCATTAGTTAGTTGATTCAGCACTTCTCAAACTAGATTAAAGTCGCACATTCTGCTGCAAGAGATTCCCAGTTTTCTGTTTTATTTATTTAGAGCATTTGTACTCCGCTCTCCAGACAAAAAAGGCCCCCATTGCAGATTACATGAAATCAAAACAAGGCACTCCCTATGCTCAGGCTTACATTCAAACAAACAAACAAACAATTATTATTTATATCCCACCCATCTGGCTGGGTTTCCCCAGCCACCCTGAGCGGCTTACAGCATATATAAAACATCAAACATTAAAAACCTCCTGATACAGGATGTCTTCTAAAAGTTATGTCGTTCCTTATCTCCTTGACATCTGAAGGGAACGCGTTCCACAAAAGGGAAAAGGAACAATGAGAGGAGAGGAAAATAAAACTCAAAACTCAGACACCAATTTCTAGACAGTTGTTCCCATATTGACTTGCCAGCATATAGTTCAGAGGCAGAAGGTTCCTGATAGAGCTGGCCTATCACAGCCGAGCCAATGGAGTGAGCTCTGTTTCTCAGCTCTCAATTCAAAATTGATTATTTCTTCACTTTGTTATTTGTCTAGAAAATGTTTTCCAATTACAGTGGTGCCCCGCAAGACGAATGCCTCGCAAGACGGAAAACCCGCTAGACGAAAGGGTTTTCCATCGCGGAGGCGCTTCGCAAGACGAAGTTCCCTATGGGCTTGCTACGCAAGACGAAAACGTCTTGCGAGTCTCGCCATTTTTTTCTGCTCCCCCCCCCTTTTTCAAAGCGGCTAAGCTGTTAATAGCCTTTTAAGAGCTTAGCCGCTAAGCCCGCTAATAGCGCTAAATCGCTAATAGCGCTAATCCGCTTAGCTGCCAATGGGGTTGCTTTGCAAGACGAAAAAAACCGCTAGAAGAAAAGAATCGCGGAACGGATTCTTTTCGTCTTGCGAGGCACCACTGTAACCTTAACTCTCCAGAGTATTTCCATCAGCACAGATGACTAAAGCATGTTTTAAATATATCCATTGTATATCCGACTTTGAGGTTATCGTTTCTGAATGAAGCCCATTTAGCAAGGACGTGCTATTGATGGATATATAACTGAGAAGCTATGAAAGGCTGTGGCTTTCCCAGTAAGTGTATTCTACATGCAATTCTGGACTGCAAGTATGTGTAATGGATACATGTGAATCTATGCACATTAATTTCATACAGTTTTCTTCCACCCAGGAAAAATTGTGAAAGTGATGTTTTGCACAGTACTTGATAGCCCAGGTTTTGAGCACCTCTTTTGAAGCACCAAAAGCCCTTTTTTATTTCGATGGCAATCTTTGCCTGGGGTTTTAAACTGTAGAAAGGTGGAGTTCTTTATCTCTTAATCTGGTTTTACATTGGATTATGGGGGTGTGAGAGAAAGATTAGGAAGATGGTTCCTGTTTCTAAATGTAATTAATTTTATTGCATTGAAACAATCCAGTCATGAAATATGCTAGAAAATATTTAATTAAGAATTGGCAGTTCTAGACAGAACTTTTGCAGTTTCCAGAGAACACAAAGAGGGGAGACAAAAAGCCTAAATTTTTCTTGGATTGAACTGAGAACCCCAAGTTTAGGAAAATCAAGTATTTTAAACTGTGTTAGCTGTACCTATGGCGACCTTCTAATAGATGTCTCACTCAGCAGATCTCAAAGTGGGTGGTACCTCCCCCCAGGGGCCAGTGGGATTACTTTGGGGGCACTAAGAGGCAAGGGCAGAGGTCAGCAACCTTTTCCAGCCATGGGCCAGTCCACCGTCCCCCAGACCATGTGGTGGGCTGGACTGTATTTTGAAAAAAATATAAACAAATTCCTATGTCCCACAAATAACCCAGAGATGCATTTTAAATAAAAGTACATTCTACTCATGTAAAAACATGCTGATTCCCGGACCATCCGTGGGCCGGATTGAGAAGGTGATTGGGCTGGATCCAGCCCATGGGGCTTAGGTTGCCTACCCCTGGGCAAGGGAGTAGCAGGGGTCCCTGAAGGTGGACCCCTTTGAGCATGTTGCAAGTTTTTTGTGACAGTTTTGGATATGCTACATAAAGATATGGCTGAGCAATTAGAGGGTTTCTTATGGTAATTCCGAGTGGGACGCGGGTGGCGCTGTGGGTAAAAGCCTCAGCGCCTAGGGCTTGCCGATCGAAGGTCGGCGGTTTCGAATCCCCGCGGCGGGGTGCGCTCCGTCGTTCGGTCCCAGCGCCTGCCAACCTAGCAGTTCGAAAGCACCCCCGGGTGCAAGTAGATAAATAGGGACCGCTTACAAGCGGGAAGGTAAACGGCGTTTCCGTGTGCGGCTCTGGCTCGCCAGAGCAGCGATGTCACGCTGGCCACGTGACCCGGAAGTGTCTCCGGACAGCGCTGGCCCACGGCCTATAGAGTGAGATGGGCGCACAACCCCAGAGTCTGGCAAGACTAGCCCGTACGGAAATCGTACCAGGAGTTTTGGTTACAGGAGGAATTTCTTATCTCTATCCTGCACTATGGAAAGTGATTAAGAAGCTTCTTATTGCGTTCCCAATATCGTATTTGGTGGAATGTGCTTTTAGTGTGGTCATCCAACTTTTCTCCAAGCAAAGAAATCGACTACAGGGTGGCTAAACATTGCAATTTAAAAGTCCTGCAAAGTGACTTTAAACCAGACATTGGGAAACTGGTATCATTTCATCAAGCCCATCCATCGCTTTCAGAATTTACTGAAAAGTGAAGTAGTTACTAAATGCAGTATCTAAGATGCTTGCCAAATGACTATCAGACTTTGAGAAGCTGGTATCACTGGATCATGTTAATCCATTTTGTTGAATTAATTAAACTAAATGGATTTAATTGGATTTTGAATTAATGTGAAATTAATTGTGTTAATATTGTCTTTAGTGGTTCATGCAAACTGCTGTTCTGAATAATGCTTTTTATAGGGCAGGGTAGAGGTCACTACCCTGTGCCTGGAAACAAGACAGTCAGGCTATGTATACACAGCAATGGCCAGAGGAGAAATGACCACTGGGACGAGCGCAGAGAGAAGAAACACTATGACGCATCTGCACCAGTGAAACTGGATGCCATCATCTGCCCCAGCTGCAGTAAAACATGTCTCTCCTATTTTGTTCTCTGCAGCCACAGCTGTAACTCTCCAACAGTTTGACTTTACCCCCCAGTGGTGCACTTTTCCATGATCTCTTTGCAGCAAAACCATATCATCATAATATTAAGGATATAAATTGTTTGCTGTCTAATTGACTTTGCTGAGTTTCTTTACTCTCTTGTATTTTATTCCCTTGGGTGTTTTCAGGTACAGACAACTGCAGATCAGCACAGAAAGCAAAGTAGCCGAACTTTTCCATCAGAATAAACTGAAGTCGTTTGAAAGCGAACGTCTACAGCTGATGCAAGAAGAAACCTCCAAGAACCTTTCACAGTGTCAGCTGGAATGTGAAAAATATCAGCGAAAACTAGAGGTACGTAAGAAAAGCTTCCGTAAGCTGTTTCAGTGTGGCAGGTCCCATGGTGTGACTCCTCATCGCCGTTGCCCTCCTTCCATCAGAGTGGTGATAGGCTAGTAAGGAACTGCATCATTGCAATTTGGAGCTGAAGAGCAACTGCTTATAGCACATGAAACAATCGAAAGAGGAACAGTAGGACTGCATTTGCTTAAGGCAAGTATTGATCCTAATCGTGCCGCACTGTTGTTGAAACCATTCTAAGCAAATGAAGACTAATTATTTTGTCAGTAGACATTAAAAGGTTATTTTGGAGAAGAGGGCAGCTGTGTTCTGTTGACTTTACAGGTGGCAATAATTATTCTTAGAACATCTGTTTCCCCCAGCATCATATATTGGCAGAAAGGAGACAAGTAGGACCTGCAAACAAAATTTTCCTGTTCAGTGTTCTAGCCAGTTAGCCATCATTCTCCTAACAGTTATATAAATAAATTATCACATATTTCTAATGTCTAATAGTACATTTTAGATGGTTAATAATTTTAATATTTTTGCCTTCATTTGCATATCTAAGCCTATATGCTAGAGGTCACTAACATTTCTGGGCCAGTGGGCACATTTAGAATTTTAAGGAAGGGCCATTGGTGCCAATCACAGAATAGCTGTTATGGTGGCATGTTACAGTGGTACCTCTGGTTAAGTACTTAATTCGTTCCGGAGGTCTGTTCTTAACCTGAAACTGTTCTTAACCTGAAGCACCACTTTAGCTAATGGGGCCTCCTGCTGCTGCCGCGCTGCCGGAGCATGATTTCTGTTCTTATCCTGAAGCAAAGTTCTTAACCTGAAGCACTATTTCTGGGTTAGTGGAGTGTGTAACCTGAAGCGTATGTAACCTGAAGCATCTGTAACCCGAGGTATTGGAAGTGTGGGGCACAGCATAACTTGAAATGGTTGCTGTGGGGGCATGATAAAAACACAAAATGGATATTTACTGAGACCTGTTGTGGGCACCAAAGGAAGTTCATAGTTGGTTACCCCTGCTATATGTCTTCTGGAAGCATTGTAAAGCTTTTTTGTTTGGACTGAACTTTCTTGTTTAGGACCAAAGGTTAAGCAAGTATGGATAATTTTTTTATTTTTATGCTTTTTATTTACGTACATTTAATTGGGTTTTACCTTTTGGTATTACTAATTTGTTAAATGGTTAATCACACGGGACCTTTAAAGAGCTGTGATAGACATGGCAATAAACTTTTTTTTTAATAATGTATGCTGTTTTCACACTTGCATGCATTTGCTTCAAGCACAGCTGCGTTGTGAGTTGTTAGGGCTGGGTTAAGTCCCCCCCTCCCATTTTTAAATAAGTTTTTCTCTTCAAATAAAACTATATCTTTTCTTCTACGGCACTTGTTTTCTTTCAGTATAATAGCTCAGATTTTTGCACAAACAAGAGACAAGTTTCAAACCCCCTCCCCAACACAAAAAATAATAATTCTATTAATTCCACCCCCCTGGTACCTCAAGCTACCTTCCTCTGACTCTCAGTAGCAGCTTCTTGGAGGAACTGCTTTAGGAAGCAGGAGATGGTCACCTGAAAAGGGAGGTTGTTAGGAGACCCCTGCAATTCCCAGAATTCTCTGAGAAGAGTGATTGATTGTTAAACCACAGGGGTGGGCAAAGGGCTTCTCTAACATTTCTCAGCACTCTTAGCAAACTACAGCTCCCGGGGGTCTTTGGGGGGAATCCATGACTGTTTAAAGTGATAAGATACTACTTTAAATTTGTACAGATAGGAGCCTTACTTTTTTGCATGTCTTTCTATATACCGTATTTTTCGCCCTATAGGACACACTTTTCCCCCTCCAAAAATGAAGGGGAAATGTGTGTGCGTCCTATGGGGCGAATGCAGGCTTTCGCTGAAGCCTGGAGAGCGAGAGGGGTCGGTGTGCACTGACCCCTCTTGCTCTCCACGGCTTTGCGCAGCTCTCCGCAAGCCGTGGGAGCCCGGCGCTGGGCTCCCACAGCTTGCGGAGAGCTGCCTGTTCTGGGGGCTGGGGTCGGGGGAAGCTCAGGGGAAGCCTGGGGGGGAAATAATTCTTTTCCCCTTTATTTCCCCCCCAAAAAACTAGGTGCGTCCTATGGGCCGGTGCGTCCTATAGGGCGAAAAATACGGTACTTGTTTCCATGTGGCATAGAATCTGAAGTTTGTACCCCAAAGCAAAGATAGCCAACTATTTATTTCTGACCCTTAGAGTACCAACAACCACAGATATTAATTTAGGGATTCAGCAAAGACTACCAAACCACGGACTAAGGTTGGATTCCATTTGTAACTGAAACATGTTTAATGATTTGGGATTTGAGAATCACGATACAAATCTGTACGTAGTACCGCTTTTAATAGAGCATATTGGATTCTTATCTTAATTATAAGTTAAATAGCAATTGAACTGTGTGCAACTCATTATTTTAACTGTTTGGGCTTTTGTCTCCACCATAAATAATTTATAGCCTTCTGTTAATTAACTTTCATTTTAATTTTCATATAGGTTTTAACCAAAGAATTTTATAATCTTCAAGCACTGAGCGAGAAACGGATTTCAGAACTTCAGGCACAAAACTCGGAGTACCAGGCAAGGCTTGACACGTATGAAAAGCTGGAAAAAGAACTTGATGAGATAATCATGCAAAGTGCAGAACGTAAGTTCTTTTAATTTACCCTGTTCTTCCTGTAGTGTACTGTGTTGGAATATTTTTATAATCTGATTGCTGTTAATGAGATCTGGAACATTTTAAATCCCAGGAATTTTTAGTAGATATTGAACATGCAGCAGTGTAATATTTAACATCAAATACATATTTTATTGTGCTTTAATTGGCAGTGAGAATATTTCATTTTGATTATCTCCTTAAATTACTTTATAGTAAATACTTTTTACTGGCTCAGATTCCCCCGGGGACATGCATGTCAGATCTATGTGCAGATGTTTTTGGTTTGTTTTTCTTTCCTGTCATATTTGCTTGGCAGATTTTGCACAAAGGCTGTTGAAGAGAAAAACAGGGAGAAGCACCCCATTGCACATCTCTTTAGTTCTGTTATGTCACAACAATTCGCCATGATCTATCAAAGGTGATGATGGGGGGCGGGGAGAGCTTCTGCTGAAGAATTTCTTTTTTATACATGATTTTTATTGGATTTTTGATAATTTTATACATATAAAACATAACCATTTCAAACATTAAAATACAAGGTTCTTTTGAACCTTCGGACCTCCTTTCCCTCCATGGGTTCCATGTTTAAGTTTAAATTTGCTGCATCTTTTACCATTATCCATCTATTATATAACCATAATTACCATAAATAATTCCGCATTACAAGTGTCATTACAATCCCTGCCAAAGATTTTAACTGTTTACAGTGGTCTTTTTAATAAATTACAAATTTACTCCAGTCTTCAGAAAATACTTGATCTTCCTGGTTTTGGATCTTCCTAATAATAATAATAATAATAATAATAATAAATTTTATTTATATCCCGCCCTCCCCAGCCGAAGCCGGGCTCAGGGCGGCTAACAACAATCAAATAATCAAACAATCAAATAATCCAACATTTTAAAAACATTTCATTATAAAAATTAATTAAAATCAAATTGATGGCAACCGTTAAGCAAAATTCTATGCAGGTTGCCAGAGGAGGGGGTCAGGCTGCGCCCTAACCAAAGGCCTGCTGGAACAACTCCATCAGTTTCGCCATCTCCGCATACTCTTATCAGTTTCATCTGCCATTCTTCTTTTGTTGGTATTTCTCCTTCCTTCCATCTCTAGGCTAGTAGCATTCTCAATTTTAGTATATGTGCTGCCGAAGCGAGCACAGGCTAGTAGCAATCTCACTGCTGTTGTTGCATACATAAAAAGTCTTTTATCTTCTCTTGGTAACTCTTCGCCTATTATACCTAGTAAGGCGACTACTTGTTTTTTAACAAATGTATTTTTGAACATTTTCTTTAGTTCGTTATATATCATTTCCCAGAATCCTTTACCAGTGTACTTGTCCAGCACATTTGGTAAAAGGTACCCTCCTTCTCTTTACATTTCCAACACAATTTTGAACTTGTTTTGTACATTTTAGCAATTTTCCTCGGTGTTAGATACCAACGATACATCATTTTCATATAGTTTTCTTTCCATAACTTTTCCCAAGTTGAAAGTTGGACATTATATCCAAAATCTCTAGCCCAATGTATCATCACTGCCTTGAATTCTTCATCTTTTGTATGCCATTCTAAAAGTAATTTGTACATTTTTTATAGCACTTTGACATTATTTCCCAACAGATCTATTTCAAACCTCGATCTCATTGTATCAAAACCTTTTTTTAATCATCCTTAAAGACATCGTTTAATTGGTGATACTGAAGCCAGTCCGTTAACAATTCCCTAATATCTTCATTTTTTCCCCAATTTTCATTGGTCTCCAGCTTCTTTTAACAAATCTCTATAGGTGGCCCACTCGCCTCTCATATTTACCTTTTTAACCGAAAGTGCTTCCAATGGAGAGAGCCACCATGGTGTTCTCCATTCTTATAGCTATCCCATACCTCGTAGATCGATTTTCTTATCAAATGGTTCAGGAATCCTTTATTTAGTTTTGTTTTATCATACCACAAATATGCGTGCCACCAAATCTATTATCGGGACTTTTCATATTTAGTAACTCTGTATTTTTTTAACAGAATCCATTCCTGCAACCAGCAGAGGCAGAACGCTTCATAATATACAGTGGTGCCTCGCAAGATGAAATTAATTCGTTCCGCGAGTTTTTTCGTCTTGCGATTTTTTTTCGTCTTGCGAAGCACGGTTTCGGAAAAGTTTTGGAAAAGCTTCAAAAATCACCAAAGGCTTCAAAAACCTCAAAAAAGGCTACCACACCGCATGCTATGAGTTGCTCCTCGAAGTCAAGTCGCAACTGTATTAACGGTGTTAAGAAAAAGGAAACAAACTTGCAAGACGTTTCCGTCTTGCGAAGCAAGCCCATAGGGAAAATCGTCTTGCGAAGCAACTCAAAAAACCAAAAACCCTTTCATCTAGCGAGTTTTTTGTCTTGCGAGGCATTCGTCTTGCGAGGTACCACTGTAACTTCAAATCTGACAGGGAGAAGCCCCCTCTTTCTTTAGAATCAGTTAGTAATTTCTATTTTATTCTTGGTTTCTTCCCTTGCCAGATAAATCTAGATATTACTTTCTGCCATTCTTTGAAGTGTCCCGTCCCACCTATCACAGGTATAGATTGAAATAAAAACAACATTCTCGGTAGCACATTTGTTTTTACAGCAGTTATTCTACCCCAAAATTATAATTTCATCCTTCTACATACTTCCAAATCCCTCTTAATTTCTTTCCACGTAGGTATGTAATTGTCTTTAAAAACATATATATTTTGGGCAGTTAACCATACCCCTAAATATTTAATTCCCCCCCACACACACTTATTTCTGTGATCTGTTGTAATTTTTCATTTAATTGTACAGTCATATTTTTCACCAACATTGAAGAATTCCTTCTACTGGCAGCACAAATGACTTTCGTAGAGGGCAGAATTGTGCACATCCAGTCTCTGGGGCCATGTGCATGGTGTTCCTCTACTGTGTGTGCATCCTCAAACAGAGGGAGGGACATGGTTGCCTGAAAAGGGGACTCTCCTCCCTACCAGCTGGTAATCAGCAGCATCAGAGCTCTGAAGCTCTGATAAAATGTTCTGGTGAGGGAGAGAAGAGTTCCTTATGTTCAGAGACTTTGAAACATCTATGGATCATGTGTGAGTGAGATAAGAGATGTGCATCAATTTTATTTAGATTTTTTAGTGGGGAGATGTTCGGCAAAATTTTGTGTTATTATAAATTTAAAACATGTTGTTGTTTAGTCGTGTCCGACTCTTCGTGTCCCCATGGACCAGAGCACGCCAGGCACTCCTGTCTTCCACTGCCTCCCGCAGTTTGGTCAAACTCATGCTGGTAGCTTCGAGAACACTGTCCAACCATCTCGTCCTCTGTCGTCCCCTTCTCCTGGTGCCCTCCATCTTTCCCAGCATCAGGGTCTTTTCCAGGGCGTCTCCTCTTCACATGAGGTGGCCAAAGTATTGGAGCCTCAGCTTCAGGATCTTTCCTTCCAGTGAGCATATATTGCCCCAAATCAAAGTACGTTTAGACCACTCACTGTATCCCCTCCTTTACCAGGGAGAGAGCCTTCTCTGTACACCAGGGCTGCACACCAACATACCCCATCATTTCAGAAAAGCCCCTTAAAACCCAGTTATTTTTGTCCAGTTTTTCTTTTAAAAAAGGTAAAGGGACCCTTGACCATTAGGTCCAGTCACGGACGACTCTGGGGTTGCGACGCTCATCTCGCTTTATTGGCCGAGGGAGCCTGCGTACGGCTTCCGGGTCATGTGGCCAGCATGACTAAGCCGCTTCTGGCAAACCAGAGCAGCGCATGGTAATGCTGTTTACCTTCCCGCCGGAGTGGTACCTATTTATCTACTTGCGCTTTGACATGCTTTTGAACTGCTAGGTTGGCAGGAACAGGAACCGAGCAACGGGAGCTCACCCCATCGCGGGGATTCGAACGGCCGACCTTCTGATCGGCAAGCCCAAGAGGCTCAGTGGTTTAGACCACAGCACCACCCGTGTCCCAGTTTTTCTTTAGCGGCTGTTTATTCTTCTGCTATAGTGACTGTTTTGGAAAGTGTTTTAGTATTTATTTGTTGTGCTGGATGTTTGTTGTTTCTATTAATGATTTTATAGCCGTAGTTATACTTTGTTACATTTCCTGTGTAAGCTGTTCTGAGAGACTGTTTACTTTTAAAGGTGGCCTAGGATCCAGACCAAGGAAATAAATGGTTTATTAGTTATGTATTGTATTGTATTGTATTGTATTGTATTGTATTGTATTGTATTGTATTGTATTGTATTGTATTGTAGCAGCTCTGGTCCAAAGATGATTTTGACTTTGCATTATCAAGTAGAAAACTTTAGATAGAACTCTTCAACATAATGTAAATGTGAATTATCCACTTTCTTGTCAATAAGTTTAGAATGCAAAGATAATTCATTTGTTTCTTAACAGTCATAACAATAAATCAATCAGACATTGAACACATAGATCATCCAGTTAGTAACAAAACGCTTAGACTTTCTGGAATGTCTTTCCAGTTTCCATACTCTGATATTCATACTAGCGTATACCCATCCTTCATTCGTGTCCAGAGATATTTGAAATATTATAAGAAAAACTTCAGGTGTGAGACCCTAATTTTTGTGTGTAAGAAAACACTTTAAGACTAAAATTTACTGAGGGAATATATAACATCATATGGCCCATTCAGTGGCCTTTTGACAAGAGAAAAAAATAGAAAAAGCAGCATATATCACAAGTTCAAGTTTTTGCAAGATGGACTATCTACTCTTTCTTATCATCATTATTAATAACACTAAAACATACACTTTGGACGATGACTGCACAATAGTTGTCTTGTGGTTTTAAAGCATACCAATTTAATCCAGAGAAATATGCAGCAACAGCAATGTGTGCAACCTAATTTTTCTCTCTCCTTACAATCTTCTATTTGTTGTCTATACTTGGCAAGATCAGACTCTGCCAAGCAAGCTAGGCATTTGTTTTGATAATATAATAGCTCACATTTCAGTAGTATGTGTGTGAACAAGTCTTACTATAATGCTAATGTATATGTACTATTTTGATTGAAAATACTCAGAAATATCACTTTGGTGTGTTTAAGATCCATGTTGCTATGTTTTCTGTTGTCAAAAGGCCTATTGATAGAAGCTGCATGTATGTTTTTATAGTGTTCGCTAGAGCTTGCAGAGAATATATATATGCATTCAGATTTGAGAGACTGTTGCCAAAAATATTTTGTCCTGTACATTTTGTGCTCGTAATTATTCCCCTTACCATGTATAATTATGCTGTTGCATATGCTGCCAGGAAAAAGAACACTCACTTCCAGAGCTGAAGAGTGCTTGTTTTCTCCTTTATATCTTAGAACAGGGCGGGAGATATTATTAATGTATTTCACGAATGAATGGCTCTTTAAAGGGAACCAACACTAACAGTCTTCAGAAATGACACACTGATATTGCTGGGAGACGTAAACATTCAGCCTGCTGTCTTTATCATTTGCCCACTACTGCAAAAGGCATGATACTGCTCAACTCTTTTGGGAGGCCAGGGTGTAGAAGTTGTGCCCATGAAATAAAGCTGGCCTGGCCTATTCCATGTCTCCCTTACCAACTGAGCTTGGCTTTGAGGACAATGCACACATCTTTTTCAGTACATGTACCAAACAACCTCCCCACATGCATCCAGTGCTTTACCAACTGCACTGGCTCCCGGTGGAGTACAGGGTCAGGTTTAAAGTGCTGGTTTTGACCTTTAAAGCCCTATGCGGCCTAGGACCCATGTACCTATGGGACCGCCTCTCCTGGTATGCCACGTGGAGGACCTTAAGGTCCACAAATGACAACACTTTGAAAGTCGCAAGGAGGTTAGATTGGTCTCAACTAGGGCCAGGGCCTTTTCAGTACTGGCCCCGACTTGGTGGAACACTCTGTCACAAGAGACTAAGGCCCTGCAGGACTTGACATCTTTCCGCAGGGCCTGCAAGACAGAGCTGTTCTGCCTGGCCTTTGGTTTGGACCCTTATGTTTCCCTCCCCTTATGGTTTTGATCTATGGGCTACTATTAAAATGAGGCTGCATTTTAAATTGTATTTCAACCTGCATTTTAAATTGGTTCCCGCCCCCCATTAAGTTTTTATTGTAATTTTACTGGTGTTAGCCGCCCTGAGCCCGGCTTTGGCCGGGGAGTGCGGGGTATAAATAAAAAATTATTTTTTTTATTATAATTTCCCAACTTCCTTTCGTACCCAAAGCCTGCTATATTGCTGCAAGCATAGCTCGTCTATCCCACTCTGTCCTCCATGTTTTTGCTGTAATTCTTGAAGTTCTTTTGATTCACCACATCTGTGAAATTTCAATATTTACCAAACAGTACCAATTGGATAAGGGACACAGGTGGCGCTGTGGTCCAAACCATTGAGCCTAGGGCATGCCGATCAGAAGGTTGGCAGTTAGAATCCCCGCGATGGAGTGAGCTCCCATTGCTCGGTCCCAACTCCTGTCAACCTAGCAGTTCGAAAGCACGTCAAAGTGCAAGTAGATAAATAGGTACCGCTCCGGCGGGAAGGTAAACGGCATTTCCATGTGCTGCTCTGGTTTGCCAGAAGCTGCTTAGTCATGCTGGCCACATGACCCGGAAGCTGTCTGCGGACAAACACCAGCTCCCTTGGCCAGTAAAGCAAGATGAGCACGCAACCCCAGAGTCATCCGCAACTGGACCTAACGGTCAGGGGTACCTTTACCTTTACCTTTACCAATTGGATAATTGGCTTTTTGTTTAATTTAAAGCATTTTGAATCCACTCCTTAGCAAAAAAAGGCTCTTAGAGTGGCTTATGAAAATCCAAGGTAAGATGATCCCTGCTTCCTATTTTTAAAAAATATAACACAAGGGGAAAGGGGGGGGGGCAAAAAGCAAGCTCAGGCACCAGACTTTAAAGTTAACCAACCAACTGGAACGGAGAAAGTTCAGGAAGACATTTTGAACGGCTGCCATCAGGTGACAGTTGAAGGAGAGGCCAAGACATAAATAATCATGAAGAAAAATAAGTTGCCATATTTGTAAAATAATAATTATATAGTACAGTATTACAGTATAATTAGTATTAGCATATTGGAATAGAGATTGTTGGGGCACAATAAAACCAGCAAGGCCAAAGTTCAAATCCTATGAAGCCATGAAGTACACTGGGCAACAAATCTCTCATTTCTGGCAGCTGTACAATAGCTTCCTACGTACTATTTTAAGTTAATTGACGGAATGTATACTGAGTCCTGGATTCGTCACCTTATTTATTTCCATTTGTTATTTACCCTAATCCTTGTTAGTTAAAAATCATCTAGCTGGGCCCTTTGTGTATCTTCAACCTTCATTTCTGTGTACTGTTTATTTTAAAATATTTGAAAAAAGGAATATTCTGATGGAGAAACTAGAATGAACAATTCCATTAGCATAACCTGAAGCCCCCTGATCTTTCTTACACCATATGTGTACATATAATTTATAGAGTTGTTCAAAGGTATGACTTGTTCTCTTTTTCCTAGATGTTCTACTGAAAATTATTTTGTATTTTTATAGTTGAAAGTGAAGAAGAGGCAGAAAGAGTTCTGTTCTCCTATGGATATGGTGCAAATGTTCCCACAACAGCCAAAAGGCGGTTGAAGCAGAGGTAAGGACAATACGAACTTGCAGATGTGTTCCCTCCACTTCCTTTCTCTTTTCCTCTTAAGAAAGGAAAAGTGTCTCCATTCTGCAGACAATTGCTAATTTTGTCTTTTCCTCTGGTGAGTGGATGGCGTTACCGACTAACTATCTCTTCGGTCTTTGTCTGCATTGCTTGTTGCACTCTGTGATACAGGACATGTGGAAGGGGGGTGTTGATGTGTAGAGAAGGGTGTTGTCATGGAGAGATAAATGTGACTTGATAAGCTTGTCACCTTTCCCAAGCTCATAATTTTGTGCAGCTAAGCAGTTGTAAATGGCCTTTTCATAATCGTCATAATCATCTTGCTACCTTTCCAGCATGCTTCCTTTAAAAACATTAAAGTATTTAAAATACCTTTTGTTAGTGCATTCATTCTTACTAAAGCTAAAACTCTATGGTAATTGGCTTTCTGTGTGTGTGTGTGTGTGTGAGAGAGAGAGAGAGAGAGAGAGAGAGAGAGAGAGAGAATAATTCAATTTTTAAATGTGTAGTTTTTAAATATATATATATAAGTAGACAACAGTTTTAGGTCAGCACATGGACATTAACATCTAAAACGGATACAATTTTTAAAAAAATGTATAAGAAATTTCTTATATATAAGCTGTTACTTCATAGTTGATGCATACTGCCTAATGTTATATGTTATAGTTTTGCATTGCAACATACAAAAATAAAATAATCCAGACATAACTCATTACTGTTACACATAAAATCAAGAATTCCTGCATGAGTCAGAAAATAAAATTTGGCTTGAGTGCCATGTATCACATGTACGGTACTTTCCCCCCTCTTAATGGAACCAGAGCACCGAGGAACAAATTCTAGGAGTAAAGAGGGTTCGTTTGTTATCCATTCTGGCTTCAATCCTATTTCAGTGTAGGAGAAAAATCACAACCTGTATTAGTACCACAATAATGGGTTCTCCTATCCTACGTGGGGACGATAAACATTTTAAGGATCTAACTAAACTGCAGAGCACATAGACCCAGTACAAATATAAGTAATGCTCCCTGACCACCTAATGTGGTGTATGAATTTTATGAAATAAATAAATAGATTAAATAATCATCGTTAAGATATCGTGAGTTTCCGCTGGGCTTGCACAGTCCTCCCCCTCGCATGTGAATTATCCCCTTTTTCTGTTGAGTTGATCATGGTTGGCAATATATGTGCACTTTTACCAGTCCAAATGCTAACCGTGACAAACTGCAAACCAGAGTTTAAACCATGCTTATGGTAATCACTGTATTTTACACCTGCGTGCTTAGAAGCGTGCCTAGTGCTCTTAGCAAATAAATCAACAAACAAACAGAATATAGGCATGTGATTACAGTGCAAAGAAATAGGGAATTTGCACACAGCAGGTGGAAAGAAGGAGAGGGAAGGCGCCCCAAGTCCACGGGGCATTCCTGATCAACTTTTGCATTTCCCAAACCCTGCCCCCCCCCAATGTAAAACAAAACCAAATGTGTCACCGGGGCTGTATCTCTCTTTGCACTGCAAGTCTTCCTTGCATGTAGTGTTTTTCTGTTTCATTAACCAAAAACCGCACCAGGGTGGCCAACAGCAATTGCTCTCCCCCCCCCCCGCCGCCCCCCGTGTTGCAGCAAGCCTATTCCTCTTCTACATTTCATGACGGTATCATTCCGCTGAAATGACTTAGCGCTAGGGGAGGGGTGGGAGTGTTTTTAAGGTCCTAGTCAGGCTCAGTATGGGAAAAACTAACATGCCTGACATTCCAGTAGCACCTTAGAGACCAACTAAGTTTGTTATTGGTATGAGCTTTCGTGTGCATGCACACTTCTTCAGATGCACACAAAAGCTCATACCAATAACAAACTTAGTTGGTCTCTAAGGTGCTGCTAAGGGACGCGGGTGGCGCTGTGGGTTAAACCACAGAGCCTAGGACTTGCCGATCTGAAGGTCGGCGGTTCGAATCCCCGTGACGGGGTGAGCTCCTGTTGTTCGGTCCCTGCTCCTGCCAACCTAGCAGTTCGAAAGCACGTCAAAGTGCAAGTAGATAAATAGGTACTGCTCCGGCGGGAAGGTAAACGGCGTTTCCGTGCACTGCTCTGGTTCGCCAGAAGCAGCTTTGTCATGCTGGCCACATGACCCGGAAGCTGTCTGCGGACAAACGCCAGCTCCCTCGGCCTATAGAGTGACATGAGCGCACAACCCCAGAGTCGGTCACGACTGGACCTAATGGTCAGGGGTACTTTTACCTTTACCTTTAAGGTGCTACTGGAAGGAATTTTTAAATTTTGTTTCAACTACGGCAGACCAACACGGCTATCTACCTATGTCTGGGATTGTAGTCAATCCCACTTGAAGGAAAGCATATCTGACATAAGGTAAGCTGATAGATTTGGCTGGAGTTCCCGCATTATTCATCTATACAAATCAATGCTGAAAAGCAAAACCATATCTGTTTTGCTGTAGTAAGTCAGCATTTCTCAAGCTGTTGAAAGCTCTACTTGTTTAGAAAATTAAACCAAGAGCAAATTTCACCACATGTCTGTCTATGGCTAGTTGTCTGTTTTTCCCCTTAATGTCTTGCACAGCACATTTCAACTTCAGCTCATGCTGCAATAAATGCACGTTACTTACATACACTGTGCTTTATTGCACTAAGTACAAGTAAACATTTCCCAAAGAGGTAATGACTGTTATAAACTCTCTCTTCCTGGACACACTGAAGTATTGTGCACATTCCAAGAGGCCTGCTTGTTTGAAACAGAAAACCATTTACCTATGCTTGACTGAACTTGAGCATATAAAGTGTTCATTTCAGTCAAATTTGGTTTGAAAACAGCAGAGAAGACTTCCTGGCTATGCATTTTTGATGTTTCGTATATAAACTCCAGCTGAAAAAGCAAAACACAAAATGTTTATTTTTATCCATTAGAAATTAGCTTTAAACATCTGAATCAGCATGAGAGAAGTTTTGAAAACATAATTGTTTTCTGCACGGTATGTATATTGCTTGCATAATTCTTGGTCACATTGCTGATTCACGTTATACACAACAGGCACATTTATTTTTACAGTGGTACCTTGGAAGTCAAACGGAATCTGTTCCGGAAGTCCGTTTGACTTCCAAAACATTTGGAAACCAAGGCACCGCTTCCGATTGACTGCAGGAAGCTCCTGCAGCCAATCGGAAGCCCTGTCAGATGTTTGGGTTCCAAAGAACATTCGCAAACCGGAACACTCACTTCTGGGTTTGTGGCGTTCAGGAGCCAAAACCGTTGACTCTCAAGGCATTTGGGATCCAGGGTACAACTGGAGAGACAGAGAGAGAGTTCTTCTTGTGACATCTGGGTCTTAAAGCTGGCTACTAAAGGTGTGGACACTCTACCGCTACACTCTACCGCTTCTTTCAAGCTGGCACACGCTACCCCATCTCACATTTACCACACCCTGTACCCAACCAGTCAGCACTGCTGGCTGTCTTTCATCAGCCATGATGGACAGAGGTCCAGACGGTGTATTAGATGCAAAGCAACAAGTTTCTTGTCCATATCATCTGGCCACATAAATTGAAAATTATCTTACAAGACAGAGGAGTCGAGCAACCTCATGACCACACAATAGAACCTTAGCCTGGGAAATGCATGTTCTCCCGTGCATTAAACCATATATCTACATTAAACCATATATTATTGAAGCTTGCTTCCCATTATCAATTGCCACCACCACGGATTGAATAAATGGCGGATTTGGAAACTGAATAAGAGCATCTAGTACCTCATTCAGGCATATACTCACTTTCCTTTAGAACCCAATTTTAATTATTTGTTTGAAGCACTTAGCCAAAATGTTCCCACAGTAGCTTGCAAAAATGAATAGTGAGTCATTTATTGCAGCAACAAATATATATGCCGGGTAGAAAGTGCCAGCTGCAGTGCCAGTTTACTGTTTAAAATATTTTCCTTCCCATTCATTAAGGGGAAATGTTAGGAAGTCCAGAGGATCTGAAGCCTCCCCATTGAACACCCCCTTTTTCAGTTGCCAACAGCATAGTGGCAAGTTTCAGTGCTTGTAACACAGAGGATTGGATAGACAGCCTTCCCTTTCCATAAACTGAGATCCACTTTATTCTGAAGGTTGTGACGTAGGATTCCACTTTGATTATCCTCAATTTGAGACAGTGGTGTTTAATATATCATTATGTTAAATATATACTCAATGAGGGAGAGGTAAAGACTTCCCTAGGTATGGAAGATGTATTCAAAACATCAACATTTTACATTACCATAGTACAGTAAAAAGTTTAAAACTGGCAAATTCTCATGGAGTAATTGTGGAATCATCTTGGAATTCATTTCAGGAATGTAGATATTTTATAAACAAGATCATTTCGTTTTGCTGCACATGCACATTCACTAAACAGCTGGAGGGGAAGGTCTAGATTATGCCCTGCTACTGCACCCAAATAGGTTATGGGTGCTCAGCGCATGATCTCAAACAACAGGAATTCCCACACAGCCCCAGTTCTGCCCATAAAATAATACTGAAGCCATTGCATTCCTGCCAAAGTAAATTAAGCATGTTTGAAGTTACATTGAAATTTAATGGGACTTTATATCTGTCCAAAGGGTAGTTTTGTTGTACTTCAAAACACCAAACGTAAAAATGATAAAGTTACACCCCAAGAAAGAGATTTGTAGAGATTTCTTATTGTGCAGCTTAAGTGTCTAGACTACTGGTGCTTCAACAAGAATATAGCTATATGCCTTTTTTTCTGAATATAGAAAATACCATCAATTTTTTCATTTATTTGATAATAGTTCACTCACGACACCATATCAACTACATAAAATAAGCAAACTTTGCATTGCTCAATATTTTGTTTCATGTTTTTCTTAACTTTTTTTAAAAAAATACATTACTTCATGTGTTTACTTCATTGGTTTTATAATTTACTATGACTTAGATAAGTGCAAGCTGGAGAGATGTTTTTCTGTAATTACTGCCTAAAGGTAATTTTGTGGTCCATAGATGCGTTCTGATAATTATCTAAAATGCAACAGATAAAGGCTGTTGCTGCTGTAAGCAAAGTAATACGATTATGCTATGGGAAAGAAGGGAAAATATTGAATATTATTGTTCTAACCCAGTTAAAGCTGCATGTGTGGCCTATGGGCTTCGAACAGTAGAGATGGGAAAGAATCCAGTTCAGCCCCCAAACTATAGCAGGTTCTTCCACACCCAAACATTTCCTATATGTTTTAAAGCGGTCTTGAAAATAAGCCCACCAAAATACTTTAGTAACCTGGCTTCTCACATACAGCCCACAAAAGGAAGAGGCAGCATGTTTTCAGAAGTTTCTTTGCCTTTTTGTATGGAGGCTTTTTACCTTTCACAGGTGGGTTGACTTAGGCCCCAAATACCTGAAAGCCCACCTCCCCTACAGACCTTTCAGGTGTTATGATCATCCTCATAATTTGATAATTGGAGAGGGCCTTCTCTGTGGCAGCTCCTCCGCTGCAGAATCCCCTCTCCACAGAGGAGTCAACTTCATAATGTCGTTCACACCATATCCTGAAGATGCACTTCATTACCCTGACCCTTCATACCTGGGATGGATGGATAGATAGATAGATAGATAGATAGATAGATAGATAGATAGATAGATAGATACGGATGCGGGTGGTGCTGTGGTCTAAACCACTGAGCCTAGGGCTTGCCGATCAAAAGGTTGGCGGTTTGAATCCCCTCGACGGGGTGAGCTCCCATTGCTCAGTCCCAGCTCCTGCCAACCTAGCAGTTCGAAAGCACGCCAAAGAGTGCAAGTAGATTAATAGGTACTGCTCTGGCGGGAAGGTAAACGGCATTTCCGTGCGCTGCTCTGGTGTCGCTGTTCCGTTGCGCCAGAAGCGGCTTAGACATGCTGGCCACATGACCCGGAAAAACTGTCTGCGGAGCGGACAAACGCCGGCTCCCTCGGCCTGTAAAGCGAGATGAGCGTTGCAACCCTAGAGTCGTTTGCAACTGAACATAACTGTCAGGGGTCCCTTTACCTAGATAGATAGATAGATAGATAGATAGATAGATAGATAGATAGATAGAAAGATAGATATTCTATTCTAATAGTTTATTTAACAAAAATTGTGCACCACTTAATTGTAAATATAGCCTCTAAGCAGATGATTTGCAATCTCTTTTTACTGTTTTTAATACTGGTTTGTTAAAATTGTTGTAACCTGCCCTGGGACTTAATGGTGAAGGATGGGTAAGAGATCTAATTCATGATTATTATCATCAGGTGAGTGGCTGTGGTGTTGTTCCGTTGTGGCACAAATGGAGAGCTGACATGTTGTTCCAGAAACGTCTCTATAGCAGAATTAACAAAACATCTTTGCAACTCATATTTTATTGTCTTGTTTTGCATGTTAAAGTATTAGTGGAAAGTGTGGATAAATGTAGGTGGCTTCATTTGTCATATTTGGAAGACATATCTGAAATGTCCTTTCCTTCCATTTTGGCGCAGTGTTCATTTGGCAAGAAGATTGCTGCAGCTAGAAAAGCAAAACACGTTGCTTGTAAAAGATTTGGAGCATCAGAAGGAACAAGTTGCCCAAATTTCAGAAGAGGTGCACAACTCTCAACAATATCTATACGTGTGTGTGTGTGTATTCCATACATCCTGAATTGGCATTTTTAAGCAACATTTTTACTGCATTTGTTATGATTAGCCAACTGAAGAAAGCATGCACACTAACCCTTTTCAGAGCAATTTATGTTGTATTAAAGCAGAGATCAAAATACAGATTAGTGTGCAGACTAAACAAAAATGCAGACTAGACAGATAAGTCTCTGTTTTCTGAGCTGGGGAAGAACTAGCCAAACTGGTTCAATGTTCTGGAGGTTTCCCTCCCCTCACATGTAATATTGCTGTTTTTATATAGTTTCTTTTAGATTCCTTATCCACTAAAACATACATATCTGAGAAGTCTTTCCCAGATTTCTCTGGCTCTTGAGATTTTTAGCATACAGAGTTCGTTAACTTCTGACGCAACTGGTAAAATATCGAAATTCTTTCTGAACTTACCGGTCTTTAAAAATCTGCTTTTAACCGAAATTATGGAGTGTTATTTTACTGATACTCTGGTTGTTGCGCCTCAAGCAAAAATCATAGAATTGTAGCATTGGAAGGGACCCTGAGGGTCATCTAGTCCAACCCCCTGCGATGCAGGAATCCTGCCCACAGCTGGCCCTGGGTGGGCTTGAACCACCAACCATCTGAGTAACAGCCAGACACACTAACCCATTGTGCCATGGGGGTGGGGGGCAAATTGCCTGTAGCCAAAACACACTGGGTTCCATAGTGGGTGGTCTTGCCAAAGTCATTTTTCATGGAACCCCACAACCTCTTTCTATTTTATTTTAATTTTTTACTTTGCACATAAAGCTGAATGTGCGCAAGTTAAATGTGTGTATGTTGCAGACTTGCTGCATAAAGAAGGTGCCTTATACCAAGTTATACTAGCGTATCTCCCCCAGCCAACTGAGCCAAGCCTGGTGGATTGTATGCCCTGAGAAAGGGGCGTCCAGGGGTGTGACCAGAGAGTGGGGGCTTAGACTGGTCAGCTCTGTCACATGACCTGGCACCCCGGCATAAGTTAAGCTAGCCAAAAGGGTGGTGTAACTCGGATACTATTTTAAAGGCTTGTTTTCCCTCTGTAAGACTGAGATCTGGGATCTGACACACCCATTTAATTTACACCAGCTTGCTTTATGCCAGCTTCTTGTGCATATGATTGCTCCCTAAAGGCTTTTTACAGTGTGAGCAAGCTGTATGGGAGCTAAATACTCTAAAAAATGAAACTTTAAAAATTCCAAGGTTAGCATCCATTTTACTGATCTCTCTAGATTTGCCTTAGGAAGTGTTTGCTATATTATGTAAGTGTTTGCTATATATATGTGTTATACATTTGAAATGATTGCCAGATTCTTGATGTGGTATGTTCTAAGGCAAGGCTGACAAGGAAACAAAGAAGTCTTTAAATGCACATCTTGGCTGTATGTCTGAGATTGTGTGACAGTTGTAGCTCACTCTCAGCTAGTTACAACTGAAATTTAAGCTCGATGGGGTTTAAACTGTTGTCCAGCAACTTTTGCAGTTTTGTTCATGTGTCGTTTACAAGATGATGTTATTAAGAGAGTATAGGGACGCGGGTGGCGCTGTGGTCTAAACCACTGAGCCTCTTGGGCTTGCCGATCGGAAGTTCGGCAATTCGAATCCCCGCGATGGGGTGAGCTCCCGTTGCTCAGTCCCTGCTCCTGCCAACCTAGCAGTTCGAAAGCATGCCAGTGCAAGTAGATAAATAGGTACTGCTGCCACGGGAAGGTAAATGGTGTTTCCATGCGCTCTGGCACTCATCACGCTCCTCTGTGCGCAAGTAGCAGTTTAGTCAAGCTGGCCACATGACCCAGAAAACTGTCTGTGGACAAATGCCGGCTCCCTCAGCCTGAAAGGGAGATGAGCGCCGCAACCCCTTGCCTTTGACTAGACTTAACCGTCCAGGGGTCCTTTACCTTTTTTATTAAGAGAGTACAGTTCTCACTCCTGAAATTGATACTTTTTCCTCCCCACAGCGGGATAGAGGTAATTCGTTGCTGAACCAAGTACAACAGCCTTACAGGTATCTCATTGAGTCTGTACAACAGAGAGATTCTCAGATACTTTTACAGAAAGAACAGATTGCACAGCTTGAGAAGGATATTAGGTAAGCGTTCAGAATTTACTGTGTATTATTTTAGTTGGATTCTGGATTCTTTTTTTTCTTTTCTTTTCATTTTAAGGTCAGTTTGACGGCAGGACAGATTACCGTATTTTTTGCTCTATAAGACTCACTTTTTCCCTCCTAAAAAGTAAGGGGAAATGTGTGTGCGTCTTATGGAGCGAATGCAGGCTGCGCAGCTATCCCAGAAGCCAGAACAGCAAGAGGGATTGCTGCTTTCACTGCGCAGCGATCCCTCTTGCTGTTCTGGCTTCTGAGATTCAGAATATTTTTTTCTTGTTTTCCTCCTCCAAAAACTAGGTGCGTCTTGTGGTCTGGTGCGTCTTATAGAGCGAAAAAATACTGTAAATAACAATGCCAAACGATGACGGTTTAGTCGAAAGTTTTTATCTGGCTGCCAGTTTTTTTTTAAAAAATCTACTGCATTATTTGTTTGTGCTTTGGTATGTTTTATTGGTTGGTTGCACGTCATTAACTATTTTACTTGAACCTTTGAGGAAACCATTTTTGCAACACTGCTGCTCTTTATTAAATACCTATTTCAAAGTGGCAATCAGCACAGACACTGAAAAGATGTAGTGTAATCTTAGTCACACACATGATTTCCTTGCCTCCTTGAAAGTCAAGGGGCATGAATTACTCATGCTACCTTCCTGCAAGGCTAGCAGCCTGCATGAAGATTCAATCTCACCGGTCAGTTGTGTATTGTCTCTGAATGATGGGCTCAATTTCTTAGTGCTTAATATCACGCCTCCTCCCCATGAAGTATCATTGGCTTAGGAAGCAAAGTATGCAGAGGTTAGTCCTTCTGCAACATTTTATTCCCTTTTCTCCAAGGGCAACGGTTAAATTCTCAGTGTAAGAAATGATTTCTCAAACGTCATAAAGCTTATTATTATTTGTACAGCCAGACATGTATGCTTAAAACAATGTCTGTGGCTTCTTATTTGTAGGGAATTCTGGTGTAGAGTGCTACCTGTGTTCCTCCTTTGCTCTTTTGGTCAGTTATAGGCAGCAAATATGTATTTCTTCATTATAAGGCCGAAGAGTGAACTGTCCCAGAATCTTACGTTTCACAGGTCATGCATTCCAAAGCAGTATTTCCCAGGTTTCTATCTGAGGAACGTTTTCTGTACAGTGGTGCCCCGCAAGACGAATGCCTCGCAAGATGAAAAACTCGCAAGACGAAAGGGTTTTCCATTTTTTGAGTCGTTCCGCAAGACGAATTTCCCTATGGGCTTGCTTCGCAAGACGAAATGTCTTGCGAGTTCTTGCGAGTTTGTTTCCTTTTTCTTAAAGCCGCTAAGCCGTTAATAGCCGCTAAGCCGCTAATAGCCGCTAAGCCGCTAATAGCCGTGCTCCGCAAGACGAAGAGACTCACGGAACGGATTAATTTCGTGTTGCGAGGCACCACTGTAGTAAAATTGTAGGCACACTTCTTTTTTAACATGTGCATAAGCATGAGAATTACCGTATTTTTCGCTCTATAACACGCAGATTTTTTCTCCTAAAAAGGAAGGGGAAATGTCTGTGCGTGTTATGCAGCGAATGTGTGGTCCCTGGAGCCGAAAAATGAGGCAAAAATCAAACCGCGCTTCAGGGAGAAGGGAGCTCCGTGAGAGAGGAAGTGGTGGCTTTCCTGCATTCTGCCTCAGGGTCTTACTGCCCACCCTGCTCTGTTTCGTTACTGTGTTTGCTCAAACGGAACAAAGAGCAGGGAAAGCCCCTCCCCTCCAGGCAAGAAGAGAGGAAAGCAGAGCGTCCTTCGTTCTATCCTCTCCCTGCTCCGGAGGGAACAATGTTTGTGAAGGGAAGAGAGATTACAGGTTCGGCTTAAAATTCTGATTTGACTTCCTGCTTTTTGTTTTTGGAGACACACAGCATTCAAATATGCTTTCTTCCATTTAAAAGGATGAAATCCTTAAACAGTGTTTTGCCTGTAAATTCATGCGATCTGGAAGATTACAGTGTCTGTACCTCTTAAGGGATGGCAAAGCTTAGGTTTCGCTGCTAAATAGTTCTTAATGCAGTTAAAATGCTTTCTTCTGTCATGCTGGTGGGAGGGAGAGGGAGAGAGAGAGAGAGCACTCTGGCTGGCTTGTGTGGGTGGGTGGGGGGAAACTTTTGCCTTCCTTTCCTCACGTTATAGCCCTCTCCTGCATTCTTAGCCTTCTGTGTTTTTCCTTCCCTCCCCACTTAAAATGTGGTTACAAAGCATGGATCCACATGGATCCTCAGGATCTTTGCATTGGGTCACCCCAAATTCACCATCAGAGCACACAGCATGTCCATGGCTACAGCCTGCCCCCCAAAATCACACACCCATTGTTGCCTGGGGCTGCAATGGTGCAAAAACGTGGTTACAAAGCATGGATCCACATGGATCCTCAGGATCTTTGCATTGGGTCAGCCAAAATTCACCATCAGAGCACATAGCATGTCCATGGCTACAGCCTGCCCCCCCCCCAAAAAAATCACGCACCCACTGTTGCCTGGGGCTGCAATGGTGCAAAAACGTGGTTAAAAAGTATGGGTCCACATGGATCCTCAGGATCTTTGCATTGGGTCAGCCAAAATTCACCATCAGAGCACATAGCATGTCCATGGCTACAGCCTGCCCCCCCCCAAAAAATCACGCACCCACTGTTGCCTGGGGCTGCAATGGTGCAAAAACGTGGTTACAAAGCATGGATCCACAGGGATTCTCAGGATTTTTGCATTGGGTCACCCCAAATTCACCATCAGATCACATGTCTGTGGCCACAGCATGAAGCACAAAAATGATACGTCCACTGTTTCATTCAGAATATTTTTTCCCTTGTTTTCCTCCTCTAAAAACGATGTGCGTGTTATGGTCAGGTGCGTGTTATAGAGCGAAAAATACGGTACTTGCCCACAGAGAAGCCTGTGCCCTGTGGATATGTGCCTCCTAATTGGAAGTAGCCGAGTCTACAACTTGTATAGGGAGATGGTAGGCAGCCCCATCTAATGGTGAATTAATTCTGTTCTGTGTCTCAAAAGCAATTGGTGGATGCAGACCCACGGCAGGGTTACTTTACCCTGGGCGAGAGATAGGGAGGACAGGGAACTGATTGGGAAAAGGGGAAGCCAGAGCATAGAATCGTGGAGAAATGCAACAGGCCCCTCCTTTGCCAGTAGAGACTTTGTGCTAATTGCAGCTTTAATTAGTTTCTCTCTCATGGCACATTTGTATACCCCAGGACAAATTTTGAGAATTGCTAACATCATCTTTGCCCTCAGATAACACGTCATGTTCCGCTAATTACAGTCTTTTCCTATTGTATTATAATAGCAGTCATTATAGGATGTGTGTGCTCCTTATGGATCACAGTTACTATATATGTCTTGAGTGCCACAAGGAAGGCTGGTTTTGATGTCAGGCCGGTCAGACTGTCCCCTCTCGCCCTGCCCAGGGCCAACAACCCTGTGAGAAGGATGGGAGCAAGGAAGGCATGCAGACACCATTAGAGCCTGTGGTGGGCGAGACTGTCCCCTCTCCACTCCACAGGGCCATCAGACATCATTGCCCTGTGAGAAGGACGAAGAGGAGGGTTTGGGGGAGGGTGTTGTTTGCATTTGTTGGGGAGGGTGTTGGGACGCGGGTGGCGCTGTGGGTTAAACCACAGAGCTTAGGACTTGCCGATCAGAAGGTCGGTGGTTCGAATCCCTGCAATGGGGTGAGCTCTCGTTGCTCGGTCCCTGCTCCTGCCAACCTAGCAGTTCGAAAGCACCTCAAAGTGCAAGTAGATAAATAGGTACTGCTCCGGCTGGACCATAAACGGCGTTTCTGTGTGCTGCTCTGATTCTCCAGAAGCGGCTTAGTCATGCTGGCCAGCTCCCTCGGCCAGTAAAGCGAGATGAGCGCCGCAACCCCAGAGTCGGCCACGACTGGACCTAATGGTCAGGGGTCCCTTTACCTCTACCTGTTTGCATTATTGTAAAATAGTAGAAATGTAAAATTGTAAACCACCTTGAACGCCTTGGCAAAAAAGAAGTATACAAATCCAATAAACAAATCAAATTCAGAATTTCCAAGTGGTGTATATAAAACATTTTTGAAGAAAAACATATAATAATTACAATTCAGCTCAGTAACATAAAGTTTTAACTTTCCAGGATTAGGGTGCCTGGAACTTAAAACTTTCCATCTTGTCCACTTGACCTCATTTCTTAATTTGTCTCACCTTAATTCAAAACCAGCAAGGGTAATGCTGCTCCATCCTTTTATTTTTGTTGATTGTTTTTTAATCTCAGTTACAGCTAGGTGATTTAAGCAGAATAGCGTGGAGAAGCTCATTGTGACACACTTCATCTCTTTATTTAAAGAAGGGGTAGGCAAACCTAAGGTTCATGGGCCGGATGTGGCCCAATCGCCTTCTCAATCCAGCCTGCGGATGGTTTGGGAATCAGCGTGTTTTTACAGGAGTAGAATGTGTCCTTTTATTTAAAATGCATCTCATGGTTATTTTGGGGGCCTCTGGTGTTTTTACATGAGTAGAATGTGTGCTTTTATTTAAAATGCATCTCTAGGTTATTTGTGAGGCACAGGAATTTGTTCTCCCCTTCCCCAAATATAGTCCAGCCCTCCACATAGTCTGAGGGATGGTGGACTGGCCCACGGCTGAAAAAGGTTGCTGACCCCTGATTTAAAGTATCCCCAAATGATGCATCTCCACCTTTTTCTCGTAAACCTGAACAAAGCCATAGAGTTGTTCCAGCATTTTCCTCATACGTCTTCTACAGCATTTTTATCAACCTCATTTTGCTTTGTTTTTTAATCTGAATCCCATCCAATTTTTCAACAGCCTCCTTGAACTTTGATGGCTTGTGCTATGCTTGAACAATGCTAATAAATCAAACCAGAATTTAATTTATTGTGCTTTTCGGTATAGAGCAATATTAAAGAAAATTAGCTCAGCTGACTAAGCTCTCTCATTTGATTAATAGTACAAAGCATGAACTACTTAAACTAGTATATTTAATGTTTACAGTGGTTTGTCCCATTGAAATCAGTGGTACGTGGGGTGGTTTGAATACTGGTTAAAATGGTCTATAGCTCACAGCCTAAAGATAGCATTCATGTTTTCCTTTTGAAAATGAATGTAAACATACAGGTTTTAACGAGGACAAAGTTTTTCTGTGTGCTGTTGCTTCAGCATATGCTCATGGTTGCCAAGAATTGCTTTACAAATTCATGTTGTAACCAGAATAAAAGATTAGAAAAGATCATCCCTTGCTATTACTGTGTTTCCTAATACTATCGTTTTTTCTACCAGTCTTTTAAATAAAGAAAAGGCGGCTTTGCTGCGTGTCAAGAATCAAATGGCAGCAGATTTAGAAAGACTTCTAAATCACCGTGAGGTAATCTTCTCATTTTAGCATCGCTATTACCATATATTGGGTTTTTCCCAACACGTTAGTCATGGGGCTGTTTTTTCTCTTTGCTAATGTTATTAAATATACTGGAAGCAAATGCCCATCCAGGCACCTCCCTCACCACATTTCCCAGGTTGTTTCCCTTTATCCTCTGCCCCTCCAGTTGCCTCGTAAGGTTGGCTGTTGAAGGTTGCTCTCACTGCTGAAATTTACCGTATTTTTCGCCCTATAAGACGCACTTTTTCCCCTCCAAAAATGAAGGGGAAATGTGTGTGCGTCTTATGGGGCGAATGCAGGCTCCTTGGCTTCAGCGATAGCAACACGAAGCCTCCGAAGCCTGCGCTCCAGAGGCTTCGCGTTGCTTCCGCTGAAGCCAGGAGAGTCTGCTCTTTGAGGCTGGTGGTGGGAGAAAGCAACGCTTCGCCCATCGCCAGCCCCAGAGGATGGGGGGAATTCCCCCACCTCGTAGAAAAGCCCGTAGGAGCCGCGCAGCCTTTAGAGAGCTTGGGGGCTTTTCCTCAGGGATGGGGAAGGGACTGACTGGCCGTTTCAGTCCCTTCTCCCTCCTGGTCGAAAAGCCCGCAGGAGTCGCGCGCGGCTCCTGTGGGCTTTTGCGGGAGGTGGGGGAATTCCGCCACCTCCCGCAAAAGCAGGAAGAAGGTCTTGGAGTAGCGTACAGGCTGCGTGCAGCCTGTCCGCTGCTCCCAGGGCTGCGGGGGGATCATATTTTTTCCTTGATTTCCCCCCCTGAAAACTAGGTGCGTCCTATGGGCCGGTGCGTCCTATAGGGCGAAAAATACGGTAACTTGGGTGATGATAGCTTTTCGATGGATAAATTAACTCATGCCAGCCACAGAATGTACTGCCACATCTCAGTCTGACTTGCTTTGTCCAGCTCACTGCACCTTCCCAAGTAATCATGGTGACCTAGGCCATGCCACGTTACTTCTCTGCTTGGCATTTACCGTATTTTCCCGTCTATAAGACACCCCCATGTATAAGATGCCCCCTATTTTGGGGGGCTCAAATTTAAGAAAATGCACCTATCCATGTATAAGACGCCCCCTAATTTTCGACATTATTTTAAGGGGGGGAAACCTGGTCTTATACACGGGAAAATATAGAATTTGTTTTTTATTTGGAAAGTATACATTCACACTTCTAATCACAGGGCCACTGGGAATACACAGTTTGTTCTCAGCATAACTTGCAAAGCAGGGCAGCTGTCACTGAAACCATGGTTTAGCATTACACAAGCAGGCCATTGCGACCCTGAGTCTTGTGTCATCCTCCATCTCCCCCCACCTCCTCTATTGCAACTGCAAGAGAAGTAATTGAAGTTTTTCATGTCCAAATACAGGCATTTTCAATGTTACGTCTGAATCTGGACAAACACTATTTAGTTATTGTTTGTTTCTGTGAAATGTAGTTAATGTCAATTTGTGGTTTATGCCTCCAGCCTCTTTATTAGCTGAGGTTAATAGAGAATCGGAGCGAAAGCTTCCAATCTTCTTGTGGACAAGGGTGGGGCGGTGGGCGAGTGCATGAGCCCAAGGCTTCCCAGGTTTTGTTCACTTCAGTTTAGTGTTGCATCAAAACAAGGCTGTTCTCTCCCCCGCTCACTGGAAATGTCCTGAGATTACCAAGGTAGAAAACTGAAAAGCACATGGAACCACTTGGTCCTCCAAAACCCATACAGATATTGAACATTTCTGCAGAAAAGCTTGAAAGATCTATCTTTGATTGGGAGGAGTTGGGGAAAGAGGCTGTGTATCTCTTGGTGCATTGCATTCCTTGCTAGAATACTTTTAAAAATTGTACTCAACTGTGAACACAGAGATATGCTTTTTGTATATATGTTTAAACTCTGTGTTTAGTACCTTGGTGCCACTCTAGGTATTACTTCACTTGAGCTATTAAGTTAATATCTGTGTGCTTAATTTCTTCCTCTTTTAAATCATTATATCACCCCTTATTCTGCTTTACAAATGTGTTCTAGGTTTAACCATTGGCAAAGTACTTTCAGATGATAAAATGAAAAGTTCTATTAAATTACAAATAGTTTTAGTTTGTGTTAAGAACTCTTTGTACATTAATTTCCATATATGCCACCAGCTGTTTTCTTTATACATTTATTGGCTACCATTGTCTTGCATGTCTAATGAATGGTTAAGTTGTGATACACATGCTTTTAAAAATATTTTAGTACTTACACTAGGTGTATTAAAGCTTTTTATTATGTCCTTAACACATGGTGTCATGCAGTATTAACAGAGGACTCATTCATTTTACCCTCTGTGAAAAAGGATGTTTCTCAAGAAGAGAGCTTTAAATACATGCAAAGACAAAAGTTACCAGCTTTATATAAACTGTTGACGACTTTGTACATTCTCCCACAACAAGATGTTAACTATTCTAAATGTGCTTCTTTTATCTGGCGGCACTTCGTGAAACTTGATTAACAAAATCCATCTTAGCAACTATTCTTATATGCCTTATACTAGAACAGGGGTCTGCAACCCGCGGCTCCCGAGCCGCATGTGGCTCTTTTACACCTTTGCTGCGGCTCCGGGACGGATACTAGCAAGGGGAGGAGGCGCACTGTGCACCCCGACACTCCCCACTGTGGCGGGCGCTGTACTGGCTGTGACGTCGCATGGGGGCGGTGCGTGCGTTAGTCACGCACTGTCCCAACGCCACCTTCCCGGTTTTGCGGCTCCCAGTTGTTTTTTTCTTCGGAAACGGGTCCAAGTGGCTCTTTTTGTCTTAAAGGTTGCAGACCCCTGTACTAGAAGAAGGAACATAATAATAATAATAATAATAATAATAATAATATCTTTATTGTCATTGCCCCCTTCGGGGACAACGAAATTACTTGACTCCCATGTTAGGTTGCATGAGGCCCTGGGTGCCTGAGCACCCACAAAATTCCCCATGAAGGGGCTGGGCACCCACAAGTTTCAGTGCCAGGGCCATGCAATCTGCATGGCACCCATGATCACGGGGCGAAGTTGGCACTCCTGTTAGGTTGTACCTTATAATGGGGTTATTGAATGTTATTGTTGACACCGTCGAGCTAAACTTCCTTTATCACTCCTGGAAAACTCTGTGTCGTAAACACTTACAGTAAAAAAAAGGATCACACCATTACAGTACAAGTCTTTACGGATATGAAAGTAACTTAGGTTGCCATCCACTGAACACAATCAGGCCTACTTTTGAGTGGACATATATAGGATTGCTGTGGGACGCGGGTGGCGCTGTGGGTAAAAGCCTCAGCGCCTAGGGCTTGCCGATCGAAAGGTCGGCGGTTCGAATCCCTGTGGCGGGGTGCGCTCCCGCTGCTCGGTCCCAGCGCCTGCCAACCTAGCAGTTCGAAAGCACCCCCGGGTGCAAGTAGATAAATAGGGACCGCTTTCTAGCGGGAAGGTAAACGGCGTTTCCGTGTGCTGCGCTAGCTCGCCAGATGCAGCTTTGTCACGCTGGCCACGTGACCCGGAAGTGTCTCCGGACAGCGCTGGCCCCCGGCCTCTTGAGTGAGATGGGCGCACAACCCTAGAGTCTGTCAAGACTGGCCCGTACGGGCAGGGGTACCTTTACCTTATATAGGATTGCACTGTTAATGAAGCAGTAAGATTTCTTGGTCCCATTGTGTTTATGCTGTGATGTAGCATCTTGGCCGTCTCTTAGTGCAAACCCATTTCATCAGGCTTGAGCTTCTACAGCCGCCGCCTGCCATGAACCACCATGGCAGGATTGGCAGCAACAGCAACAGATATGTTCTATGCTCTTGATAATAGATTATCCTCTTGTTAATTGTGCTGTTTTAAATGTGCATTTTATATTTTACTTCCTTTAGTAAAGTTTTCATTTGAAATGCTTAAGATAATATTTTAGTTTCCTGTTACAGTGGTACCCCGCAAGACGAACGCCTCGCAAGACGGAAAACCCGCTAGACGAAAGGGTTTTCCATTTTGGAGGCGCTTCGCAAAACGAATTTCCCTATGGGCTTGCTTCGCAAGACGACAGCCCATAGGGAAATCTCCGGGACAGCGGGGAAGCGCAGCGCGTCTTCCCCGCTGTCCTTGGACCTCCTCCGAAGCCTGGTGGCGGGGCAGGGACACCTCCTCCCGCCGCCAGGCTTCGGAACGATGCCCCGATGCCGGGGGGGGGGAACGCCTCCGCCGCCGCCCGCCATCGGGATGATGCCCCGATCCTGGGCGGCGGGGGGCGGGAACGCCTCCCCCCGCCTCCCGCCATCGGGACGATGCCCCGATCCTGGGCGGCGGGGGGGGAACGCCTCCTCCGCCACCCGCCATCGGGACAATGCCCCGATGCCGGGCGGCGGGGGGGAACGCCTCCGCCGCCGGGAACGCCTCCCCCCACCGCCCGCCATCGGGACGATGCCCCGATGCCGGGCGGCGGGGGGGGAACGCCTCCGCCGCCGGGAACGCCTCCCCCACCGCCCGCCATCGGGACGATGCCCCGATCCCGGGCGGCGGGGGGGAACGCCTCCGCCGCCGCCCGCCATCAGGACGATGCCCCGATCCCGGGCGGCGGGGCGGGAACGCCTCCGCCGCCGCCCGCCATCGGGACGATGCCCTGATCCCGGGCGGCGGGGGGGGAACGCCTCCTCCGCCACCCGCCATCGGGACAATGCCCCGATCCCGGGCGGTGGGGGGGGAACACCTCCGCCGCCACCCGCCATCGGGACGATGCCCCGATGCCGGGCGGCGGGGCGGGAAGCCTGGGCGCGCTGATCTCAGCGCGCGCAGGCTTCGGCATGCTGGCACCTGTCCGCAAGCAGCGGCAGCGCTGCCGCTGCTTGCGGAGAGGTCCGCGAAGCCTGGGCCGGACAGCTTTTGAAGGCAGGCGGGGGGAGCAAAGACTTTCGCCCCCCGCCAGCCTTCAGAAGACCTCTTCTGAAGGCTGGCGGGGGGCGAAAGTCTTTGCTCCCCCCCCCCGCCTGCCTTCAAAAGCCCTCC